AATCCAATGCTGATAAACGCATGTTCTGGTATCCTTCAGGCGAGAATAAATTATGTCCCTTAACATTTTTGGGGTTTGATGCATGTCATCGATCCCAATTGGGTGGATCGATGCTCATGATGTCAATCACTGGATTGTCTGGTCCAGACTCGATTATTTACAGACCGCCGTCATATAGCTGGAATATTGCTGTGTGCAGCTTTAAATAACAAACACACAAAGCATACACTAATCCCAGGCATGGAACACTTGACACTAGCCTGTTTGATAGCATAAGTTGCTTTTGCTAATGTTACTAGCATCCCGAGCGCCAATCTCATTAAAATCAGATCTTAGTTTTCGCTACCGCTAAACAAAGATCTGAGGACATCCCATAACAGGTCACGTCAGAACGACCTTTCGTGAACTTTAACCGACCAATGAAATGACTGACAAGAAATCGACATTAGCCAATCAGAAGGCAGCTTTCTCGAGCTTTATGACACAAGTTTCAAACTGGCTACTATGCTTCGAAACATATTTTGACATATTTTCGATTAAAAAATTTAAAACTGATAAAGAGAACATTCTGGATTGGCTTATAGATGGTCTAGATTGTATGGATATAATAAAAAAAAAAATGTAACTGTCATTCGGAATACCCTCTGTTAAATGTTTCGAGGTTGCATGATTAGAAAACACATTCCGTCCATCGCTTTCATGATCTGGTAAGCGACGCTCTGATTGGTTGGATGAAAGGTCGTTCTGACATGACACGTAATGGTATGTCCTCAGATCTTTGTTTAGCGACAGCGAGAACTAAGATCTGATTTTAATGAGATTGCCCGAGCACTAGTCAAATTTCACACTTTATCTGGGTACTTTTACAGTTTATCCCAGTTTCGGTCAAGACAATGGTTCTGGTTAAGTTGTATTTTAATTAACAATGCATGTGTCTATGTTTAAGGATTTAAGGAAAGGTGTGGAGGAATTTATCTAGACCTGCTCAGAGGCCAATATTTGACCCCAAATCTGCAGCAGGTGTCATTAAAAATTCCCAAATTGGAATTAAAATGTCCCATTTCATGTTAATACGAAATGTATATGAACTAATAACTACTTAGAGATAGCTTGTATTTCACTGATAACAAAATCAATAAACAAGAGTTTTTAATGCTTAATTTTATATTATTGCACTGAACATGTTGAATGCAATCTCAAATACAATGTAAAACACCTTTGAATTTAGGAAAAGACCTTTAGAAATATCCCAATTCTGACAAAATAACAATTACTTTAAAAAATTATCCTTACAATGAACAAGAATAAATTAGATAATAATATTCCCCATAATCGAGGCTATTAATTTTATCAGAACAACCTACTACATGTACGGCAATCAAAACATCATTGATTATTATCTATAATTGGTAGATCAATACCTAATATCATATCATATGTAGTTTACCATAAAAAAAAGTGAGTGTCTAATATTTAAATAAATATTTTTTGAGAAAACAAAACAGTCGCAAGTCAATCTTCCTTTCCCAACCAACATCAAGATAGCTGCAAAATGATCAAGATCAAATGGGTACATCAGTGTTAAACATGACGCAGAAAGGTGCATCCAATTGACTAATGTATAGAACAGATGCTGAAATAAAAGAAACTGCGTCCCGAGGGACACACAATATTATTCATTGTACCAAACACTCTTGACAAGAACTACAGAGTTCCTGTAATAAAGGGGAGGTCGGGTAGCCAAGCGGTTAAAGCGTTCGCTCGTCAAGCCGAAGACCCGGGTTCGATTCCCGACATGGGTACAATGTGTGAAGCCCATTTCTGGTGTCCCCCGCCATGATATTGCTGGAATATTGCTAGAAGCGGTGCAAAACCATACTCACTCGCTCACTCCTGTAATTAAAGTAATTATCAAATCTTACAGTATCACACACTACATCATTTCATTACTTTACAGGACCTTCATAAATCCTGTTAGGACCCTTGAAATTAGTAACTTGGGGTCCTCTGAACCCCTAGTCTCGTAGGTCAAGGGAAAACCCTGGTTCATTGGTAAACAAATTGATAAACAAATCCATGCAGCCTGTCCCATGCAATAATTGACCATGACATCAACATACAGGAAATAGTTATACAAGAGGAAGTATGAACTCAATGAGGAAACTTCTCCCTTACATAAATTATTGGACACAGCCTTTATTATCATAACTTTGAAACAAAGTCCCTCCCAGCACAATGAAAACTCAAGCTCAAATAATGATATGGCCTCACTGCAGGGATGTCATCGTAATTTGTATTATTGTGTGAGTGAGTGAGTGAGTATAGTTTTACGCCGCTTTTAGCAATATTCCAGCAATATCACGGCGGGGGACACCAGAAATGGGCTTCACACATTGTACCCATGTCGGGAATCGAACCCGGGTCTTCGGCGTGACGAGCGAACGCTTTAACCACTAGGCTATCCGACCGCCCCACATATTTTAAGATTAATATGGAAAATGAGCATGCAGAAAATTCAGTTTTATACATGGGTTCATATTTAGCAATAAATTGATTAACTGCGGGTCAATATAGGTAGTTTTTATCCATATGGGGGCACGGGTGGCCCAGTTGTCTAAGGCGCAGCGATTCGCTGTGCAGAGTTGCATCCCTTGGGCACGCCAGAAACCTATGCTTGTGGGTTCGAATCCTGGTTTGCCCCGATTATGTTTCTAGGTTTGTCAGCACCATACCCGTGCTCGTGGGTTTCACCGAAGTGGTAAACATCTGAGACCTGCATCACTTGGGCTTTCCTCCCATATTAAGCTGACACGACGCGATATAACTGTAATACACTCTCACTCATACACACAAACAATAGTTTCAAGTCGATATAACTATACTAAAATTTTCAATCAATGACCCATATTGTAATGTGATTTATTGTTTAATAAGCCATTTAGAATTTTATAATCTCAATAAGGTCAAGAATGTGAAATAAGCCTGCTTTGTCAAAGAACATGTAAACTAATTGTATTTATCTTGTTGATGGTATGAACATAGGTTTCTTCTCTTACAAAAAACTTGAAAAAGAAGTGTTTCAAAATATTGTTTCATCACATCTATCTTAAAAACAATCCTTCTGTTGCGACAGAATTCTTCTTCTTCCTTTATGTCCTTGCGCATATACTATCTACACATTCAGAAAAAAAGTCTTTAACATGTTTGACAAAAAACATGACGCAGATCCTGCCTACTCGCCCCATAAGAAGATATTAGATTAAAAAATATCCTACTTCCATAGATTTTGTATACAGATATGTATAAACATGCTATTGCCATAGCAACAGTCTATGTTAATAAGTATCACCAACAATGGGACCTCATTAATCCAGACACTGTTATATCCGGACAGCTACCCTCTGGATCATATCGATGGCAAAGTCTATATACAACCAGACACATATCTGCACATATGATTTGTTAATCTGGAGATTTGTTAAGCGTGGAGGTTAAACAAGGAAACGGTACCGTATGGATTAACGAGGTTTCACTGTAAGAGATAAGATTTCAAGAGATATATATTACTAGTTCTGAAATGTTTTGAGAACACCTTTATTCACAATCCAAAACGTTTCTACATAGAAAGGGAGGACATATGTATAAATAAACAAACTGAACAGGCTTAATAGGACTTTTAATAAAATGACTAATTTGTTTATCGGATGAGCTAATTAACATTGAAATATGCTTCTATCTCATGTTCACCAACCATTCATAAACTTTGAAATTCTGATATATCATACGCAAAAATATTCACCAGCTGAATGTCAACATAATGCCTTTGAAGCTATTTCAGAACATGTATGTCGGAATCACACTAAAAGTTTATGAAATTGAAATCATCTGTCCCATTCAATCCAAGTAATGTTTAAAATGCAGCGACACAAATACACGCCATGCATGTTGATAATAATCCATTTAAACATGCATCAGGGACTCAAGGAAGAAGAGTGGGCCCATCTGATATGCTGTCCTTTGTTTGACTTGTAAAAAAAACATCTGAGGACAAGCCTGTTCTATGATAAAGAATACTATGAGTATATAGGGCCTACATATAGGATTTTGGGATCATGAAGATGTAAACAGGGAAGTATTACCTAAATATATTTACAAGTTTAGAGAAAACAAAAGAAACTCATTCATCGCGAATTCGAGAATAGCCTCCCCAACTGACATGAAGCGAGTTCACACAAGTGGAGTTATGAACTGATAAACACAAATCGAAGTCGCACCGAAAACGCCAGCTGTTTTTAATTCGCAGATAATGTCCGCTAACCCACAGCCGAAACTGACAATTGGTTTGGCTTCTGAAAGTCCCTAGTCAACTATCGTGCGTCTAACATTACCAAATTTCCATAGATGTATCGAGAAATACCGCATCGAACACAATGACCCTCTCATAAGTCCAAATCGCTCGTGTGGCAGCCATGTTGGATTGCCATCAGAGGTAGCTCAAATGAAATAGCGAACATTTTCTTACAAAAGAAACAAGAATGGGGCATATGTGAGCCAAAGAACCAATCGGTTGGCGACTTGGATGTTAAATACATCAAATGAACTCAGTTAGTTATCAAAACCCACCGTAATTAAGTTTCAGTCGGTTAATATGTCTGTAGTGACCATCTTAACTGTGATGCAGCGATCCCTCTCTGCAGTATCTACATACATTGGGAACGGACTGGGAGCTAACGAAAATATCGTTTCGCCTTAATAAAAATGATACACTAAATGTCACCACTATTTTGCAACCGACATATAATATTAATTATATAAATGTCCACATATATTAATTCTACACGCAATGGATGATAATACTAAAATCGTATTACCCATTAGGCTGGGTCCTTATAGAGCAAGTAAAATATTTCCTCCAAACTTATTCCTAACATCAGTTTCCTTAAGATATATTTGTGTCATAAAAAATAAAATAGCTACACCTATTTTGATATCTATCATACCCGTTGTAAACTCTAGGTTTCCAACTTTCCGTGTTGTCAATGACTTTGAGGCAGTATATTCGTCTCTCACTTCTAGCATTCTTTATTTGCGCGAGCTCATGTTTAATTGGACTCTTCTCATAGTGGGTAATGAGAATCGACACATTTTGTGTAAAGGACAAATTTTGTACCTAAACACAAGATTTCCTTAAATTCAACTGTGCGAGATAAAACCGTATGTACACCTGGCAACACAGCAGTGTAATATTTATAAACACTGTCGAAAAGACAACATGTTAGTATCGACCGACAGCCGGCTTACTACCTAAACGCCCCTATTGTTGGAATGGACTGATCCGTATAGTGATTACACATGGAGGTGTTGGTATTGTTTGTAAGACTATAAATGAAGTGTAATGTGGATTATATTACAAGACGATGTTGTAGTTCATATAACAGTAATATGCTGTCTGACTAGCATTTATTAGTTTAACGACAGAAAATATTTACAAGGCCCTTAGTTTCCATGACCCCTTGAGCTGACCCCATTGTTGGGTCTACAGCACGTAGGCGCTTGTAATCTCGATGTTGCTAACAGATAGTATATGAATATATACTCCAACAAATTCATCATATAAAACAATTCTTTAGCCAAATAATGCCTCTAAGACAACCTCAAATCGTCACAATGAAAAAAAAGCGGAAATTGTTATAAAACATCCTTGTGTATATATTTACAAAAAAATATTGCAATACGTCCCAAATGATGTGAGCAACCCATTTGCTAATCTCAGTCTTCTCATCACATCATAAAGTCATATGCGATGAGATTTACTTTAATGATTATGTATAGCTGTCGTAACGGGCCAGTATCTAAATTCCCAGCTAGTGCAGATATTTATAGGCCAAAGCATGCTGAACAATAATACTCCGACCCTGCATAATGTTATACCAAACGCTACACTACTCTCATATATTTCCATACTATGACCAACACTCCCCAAACATGCGATATATTTAGCTGAAAGAGTCTTGTGGACAGTTGCAGAATCGCACGTTAAGTATCCTATATTGGTGTAGTTCTCCAATATGGCGGACAGGGTTTACTGATGTGACGAACGAATGGGAAGAGCACTACAGTCAATGATGTTTGGGAGTATCGCTTCTCAGTTTACGCTGTAATAGATACAAATCTTATCGTTCATTAGAGTCATCGAAGTAGTCAAGAAAAGTATATGATATATTTATGAAAGCGCTGCAGCCTTGCTGAATTCTTTTATACACAGTGACATTCTTTTGATAATATCTAAACACCAGAGGTGTGCTAGCTATATCGGGGGACGTATTTGGTAATTATGCATGAATACTGTAGCATAAGGTCATTACAGAGTGTTAACAGTCACAGTATTCACAAGTAGACAACGAATAAAACGATTTCGAGGGAATGTACAGCAGGTCTTGTATAGATTCGTGTTTAAAGCATTGAAGGAACAGCTAGAGAGGTCTTAAATCGGTACAGCCAAGCAGACAATTCGGTCAATAATTTCTCCCGACTGGGCCGCGGCCATGCGAGGAACAGCTAAAAGCAAGCTACAGACAGGGTTTTGAAATGTTCAGCATGACAAATGTGTTGTTCTACTAAAACACATCTGAAATCATTCAACTGTCCTTAAATAAACTTTGTTCTCAAGTTCATCTTCTCTCGTTAGCGGCGCCATTGCGACAACACGTTCCTGCATGTACGCCAGTCGCCTCGCAGCACGCGGCACGTGCTCTCGTGGTGTTGGATATTAATACATACAGACACGTTTAAGTCCGTATTGGTGAAATGGAGAATTATATCTTAACCTTTCATATGGAACTGGTGATTAAATGCATTACGTAATCTGTAGTAAATGACGCAAGCCGAAGTCAATTTGGTCTTGACATCCAGCCGTATGAATTAATATTCTCTTGCAATCATCAGCTATACATCAGTGTCCATTGAATCAAGCGGCCGAATGATATACTTTATATACCATGTCAGTGTTTAGAGGTGAGATATATGTCATTAGGGAAGCGACATATGACAGATAATTCTGACGATTCACCATTAGCATATATTTTATACGTATTATATATATCAATACGTGTAAACCTATATACCTGTCTTATTGATCACAGATATATATGACTATCTGTTTAAATCCATTCAAATTTACAACCTTCCGAAAATGAAACGAAATCCAGATTAATTATGATAATCAATAATTCCATCTACGAATAAATATGACGTCACAGGTATATCACATCTCCTAAACCTGCATTCTCTGCGACCTTTCTCTTGTGTTTATCCTTGTGCATAGACACTCTTTTTATTTCCAAGGAACAATGAAAGTCATAAGCCAACTATACAATATTTGCATCATTTTGAAAATCCATTACACGTGCAAGATGTTTCTGTCTGTAAACGATTGACAAGGTGTTCAGTTGCCTCGTCCACAATGTCGCTTAACGTTGGCTAGTTTTAGAAAATATTCATCCACTACCATGCAGTTAGCCAAGCCATCCTCAAACATCACGTGATATTTTGTGATTTCTCCTCACCCATTCGTGCAGTGTCAGAAAGCGTGACGGGTCACGTGTCTTAGAGACACGCATGGATGACGTCAGAGAGAGTACAAGTTTGATCAGTGCAATGCCCTTGGCACTCTCGTGTCGGCAGTTGATCAATATTATAGGTACATTATTGTAACAAATGAGAACAATATTTATTTATATGCAGCAGATATACAAAAGGGTAATTCGTCGTACAAAAAAATAATTCAAAAGTCTTAATCGTAGATCTCATTGTCTCTTATAATGCCAAACTATAACAAATTACCCAAAGATGCAAGGATAATTTTTTACATTGTCAATACTTAATTGGGTTGTATATGCACTACCTTTGTTTGTTTGTTGTTTAACGCCAGAGTTATAAAGTCAATAATTAAGTCCGGGTCAGACAAACGTGTGATTGACATTATGAACACCGATCTACGCCGATAATACCCAATTAAGCAAGTCACCGAGCCTGACCACCCGATACACTGTGTCGCCGCTAAGACAAGTATATAGGTCGCTGGGAACCTATTCCTACCCCAGATACCCCGCGGACGTTTACCTGCTGGGGTACAAATTATATACCTGTAATTAAGGAATGTGTGTTCTAGGTATTTAGAAATAATTTCATAACGATAATAAAACAATGTTTTGTTTGTTGCTCAACGCCGCACTCAGCAATATTCTAACTGCATGACAGCGGTCTGTGATATAATCGAGTCTGGACCAGACAATCCAGTGATTGATATATGAGCATCGATCTACGCTATTGAGATAGGATGAGTGACTGTGGAATCTGCACCGGATTGACCACGGATTCCTGTTGCAAAAGGTTTTTTGAGATATGTACCGCTGGACATTAGTTAAAAGCCAGTTATATATTCTCATATAAAATATACATTTTAAACACACTATATTAAGTTTATGACCAAATACGTGAAACTCCGCATAACAATTAGTCTTCAGCAACCCATGCTTGTCATAAATGGCGACTATGCTTGTCGTAATAGGCGACTAACGGGATCGGGTGGTCAGACTCGCTGTCTTGGTTGATGCATGTCATCTTATCCCAGTTACGTGGATTGATGCTCACGATGTCAATCACTGGATTGTCTGGCCCAGACTGGTTATTTACAGACCGCTGACATATAGCTGGAATATTGCGGAGTGCAGCGTTAAACAAACAAACAAACAAACAAACAAACAAACAAACAAACGACGAAATACATACAGACAGAGACCAACCGCCATTATCTTTTGGCATGTTTTGTTACTGTTCCATTGTAATAGGTATTGGTCCCAATTACGTGGATCGATGCTCATGATGTCAATCACAGGATTGACTCGATTGCTAAGTGCGGCGTTAAACAACAAACAAACAAACAAACACCTTCTGTTTCATTGTTTGCATCAGGGGGAACAGGTGAACCAGTCGTCTAAGGCGCCGCAAGTCGCTATGCAGAAGTGCGTGCCATGGGCACGCCAGAAACCTATAGTCATGGGTTCGAATCCCAGATTCGCCCGAATATATCTCTATGTTTGTCAGCACCATACTCGTGCTCGTGGGTTTCACCGAAGTGGTAAACGTCTGAGACCTGCATCATTTCGGGCTTTCCTCCCACATCAAGTTAACACACCGTGATACAACTGGAATCATAACGCTACCCCTACCAAACCATCCACTTCCTGTACGCAGTTTCCGGCGTAACGTTCTCCCCGACGTCTGTAGACCCGTGCTCTTCCATCCCCTCGACGGAGGAGAAATCTTGATTCGTCGCTGAACCAGACATCTCTCCATCGCAGTTGAGGTCATACTATGTGTTGACGATACCAACGCAGTCGTTGTTGACGATGTTGTCGACTCAATATGACGCGTCGAACAGGACGTCTTGCTCGGAGACCAGCTGCTCTTAGACGGTGTCGTACGGTCTGATCGGAGATTCTGGGTATTTAGGATGCGGTTGAGGTGGCTGTGGTCGTCCTTTCACGTAGGTGGCGCAGTCGGATGTAGCAATCTTGGGCGGTGCTGGTTACTTTTGGTCGTCCCGATCTTGGCCGATCACGTGTTGACCCATACTGTTGAAACCGATTCCATAGCCCTGTGATGATGCTGTGCGCTACATTGAAAACCCTGTCTACAGCTGATCGGGATTCCCTGCCTGCAAGCAGCATATGACGTTGTTTCCTTGTACTTCTGTTAATCTTGGCATGTTGTTGAACTGTCACTGTTCGATTGACGCAGATGCCAGGCAATCAAAATCCTGCACTTTAATACCGTTCATAGTGCTGCTGTACATGCAGTGAGTGCAGTTCCATGGCCCTTTTGTTAATGCACTGGGTGCGTTTTTTCCCGAATCGTACGTGTTTTCCGACTAATGGTGTGCATGTCCTTATTGTGATCATTTTGATCCGGGGAATTTGTCACTGACACTTTAACACATTAAACCTCTTCATTTTGCACTACTTGGTACACTAAGTGTATTCCCATTCAATTGAGGCGCCGCGTTCGTT